TCTGTATGAAATTATCACTTTTGGATTACTTCTTTTATTCAACCGCTTGTGGATCTTTACATAAGGCAATCAGTTTTAGGTTTTTCAATAACAGTTAGTTGAACTGATGAGCTAACATGCATGAAAAACTACATGTAAAGCAGAAAATTTGAGTACAATATCAACGGATCAAGTATGCACTAATAAATTTGTCGATAGACGTTGAATTTAATTTATGAAATACCAACAATAGCCCTTAGAGGAATTATTGTGAGGATAGCTCATTAGAAAATTAAAAGCAGCAGCTATGAATTCTTGCAGAATAATAGCTGAAAGCACAAAATAACTTCACGATATTGAAAAGGTTGTTGCTTGATATTTAAGTATTTTGCTTTTTTAATCTTTTTTGCATTTTCGAGAATGCAAAAAGGAACACAGTTGTGAAGAATGAAAAATCTAACTTGTTGTGTTATAAACATTTATTATTTGATGTTTTCTAAATGTACTAAAATTTCTAATTTATGTTTATATTTCATAGGTAATTTTTTGAAGCATAGTTAATGTTAGAAGTATTTTAATATGAAATAAAAATAAACTTAACAGAATTTGTACATGTAAGTATTTTTGTTTTTCTTAAAAAACGAAGCATAACTAAAACATACGACATATGGTTATTGGGGAAAAAAAAAAAAAGCAAACAAAACATATAGAATAAAATTCCACTAAGAATTACTTATTCTCTATGTGTACCTTTGACTGCAGGGCATTATTAACGCCGATGAAGCTTGTTTTAGCGTGTGTGATAACGTGTTTTAGCGATGAAGCGTGTGTGTCATCGAAAAGGTCCTAAAATAATTTTTGTCATGCTTGTTTCACCAACATGCAACAGCTTGATTATGCAAATATATAGTTAACATTTTGTTAAGATTCCTATATGTGCTATATAAATTATTCTTGAAGCTGAACGGTGAAATGGTTAGTGAAGGTTGACTGCTAATCCGAATTCCTGGATGAGACTACCACTTAAGAGTTAGTTGTCTGTGCAGGTCTTTTCCTTCTTGTAGATGCAACATTGGTCTACCCTCTATTATGCACCCTCGAAAGGTTCTTGATAGTGAATTGATTGAAAGACCATTCCCTGTGAACTGCTCCTGAATAAGAGTACGTACATTAGAAGAGAAAGAGAGCATGGTTTGAATGAACAAAAAATTCAAAATTAGAAGAAAATAAGTTGAAAAATTCATTCAATCGGAATATATTTCAGGATTTTTAATTTTCAGTTGGTTCGTGTTAAGAAATTAAAGGAATTTTTGATGTGTGTCTAACTAGCAGTGAGAAAATGTATGGTTCAATAGCTTTGTATGTTGAATTTCTCACATTTCACTCTGCGGATAAAGAAATCTAATAGAAATGTTAACTTCTGAATCAAACATGTACTGGACTTAGCGGACTGGCAGCGGCCCTTTCCGTATTTAACCTTTAGGTGAGGAGAGCTTGTAAAAATTAAACACTTTTTTTTTCTCTTATTAATCTACTATATAGGTAAGCACAATCAGGTAGCAAATGAACCATTAGAGTTTCGGTTTCCAGGGATGGTACAGTGTATTTGTTACGTTTTCTATTTCCAAAAGAATCTGATAATATTTGCAACTTTTCTTGGGAAAGTAAACTGAGTAGAAGTGTCATACAGACAACGAAGAAATCTTGGAGTTTGAGGAAATCCCTTAGAATCAACGCGATTTCATGAAGGATGGTGTATACACCTGGGTAACCTGGGCCGAAGCTCTATCTTTATCGAACAAATGAAAGTTTCTTAATTTTGTGTACAATAACACAAACAAGAATTTCTAGGTTGTAACAGGTAATTGAACCATGTAAATAAAAGTACCTTAAGAAAAGGAAATTAAATAATAAGTAATGCAACATATAACTTTGCAAGTGACGTTAAAAAAGAGAAATATTGGGAACTGATAGGTAAGATTTGGAATAAGCAAATTTAGTTAGATAAACATTAGTTAAATTTGCGGTAAGAATGTAAGTGTGTGGTGAAACAGAGTCGAGTGCTGGGTTGGTCAAGTAGGCTGCAAGAGAGACATAGGCGTATAAATAAAAAGTAGGTTTAATTCCTTCGGTGAATCAAAATCAACCTGTGGTTGCACAGACACAACAAATACTATTGGCACAACAATCATAGAAATGGCATGACCAATACTTTCTTATTCTTGGATGAAAAGCTGAAAAGTAAGGATTCTGGTAATCGGAATTAAAATTTTCGAATATTTTATTTATTTCAATCCTTTTCTTAACATTTTCAAAGGTAGTTTTGCATTTTTATAGGAAACAGCTAGTTTAGGGATTTCTTCTAAGAAATTTCGCAGTACCTGTTGCAGACTCATAAACAGTTAACTCCTCTTACTCGATAGGAAATTGCATTCAACAGCTTACCTCCCAAGACCATTCTGCGTGTATAGTTCCTCGGACTTAGCTTGAATCATTAACGCAGACTGAATAAGAATAACAGAGGCTGTCATCCACAAAAATGAATAATTTTCCAATGGCCTTCTAAAAACCCCTTACTTGAAGCTAAATTACAACCTGAAAATGATAATGAGCAATTACATTTTCTCTTTCAATAATAGTAGCTTTACTTGCCAATTAATCGTTAGCATACTCCCCACCTTTATAACTACATTGATCAGCTTCAGTAATGATTTTGTCGAAGAGGCAATTCTGTATATACGCTAAATATACCGCCGTCTTATAGAACAGGAATGCAAATAAAATTTACTTTCTCACATGAAGACGTTGTTCACCAGATCAGCTGAAATAAATATTCATGATTCCAACGATTACAAAGGAGAATTCCTCATTGGGTGCTATTGACTTCAGCATGATCATAGGTTAGAATCAACAGCATGTATAATGGAGAATTACAGGCGCTTATGCGCTTGTAATTCTGAATTTTCTGCTCAGACATCTTTTCATATGATAAGGTGTAATATTTTTATCATTATGCTTGAAAGTTGTTCTTTAGCCTGCTTGTGATTTGGGGATATTTCTTCCCCGTTATACTCAGATAACGGTCTTCTTCTAAAGCATGTTTCTTGGTCAAACACATGCTGTACCTTTTCGTAAATGATTTCTTTTTTAAAAAGATGCTCCAAGCAATAATGCTACTGTATTTTGAACAACTTTAAATTTATTCATTGCTCTTCCACTGACTGACCTTTTACCAATTGCGCCACGATTATGCAATAGTAAAATCATTTAGCTAGCCAAATTAACAAAGTAAAATTCCGTTGTTTTACACTAAAATTTGCATTCTGTGTCTAACTCAATTTATTGGATATTAGTACAGGACACTTTGGAATTCATAAGTAGTATTTTATAATATTGCTTGTCTTTTTTTGTGCAGCAAATAACAGAGGAAGTAACAACAAAGAATTTTCTGATCAAGTGCAATAAAAAAGTGCGGACGAAAAGAAATCCTAGGAAATCTAGTAAATCTAGAAAGAGCTGGATATCTTCCAAAGTAAGAATACCTTATTTGTAAGAGTAATTAAGATGTTACTACTTTTTCTATTAACTTCTTTATATTAAGTAAATTCTACGAAACATAAGCAAACTTATATTCGAGTGCTGTGAAACTGCTTCATTCTAGGGCAAGAATGATAAGACTTAAGATCTAACTAAGCAGAGCCGGTTCCAGAGCCTATGTAACTAATGCGGTTGTTTACTGTTATTTAGTTATTTAGTTTGAGAGTTTAGGAGAGGCAAAACTTTTTAGAATTTATAGGAATAACGAACAGCAAAATTTAGTGATCATAAAATTTTTAGAATTTAAAATAGGCACTAATAAGCAGAATTGAGGGGCTGCAAACTGTTTTAAATTTAGGGAGAGGAATTCTGCAGAATATATGATCCGCAGAGAATGCAACGGATGGCAAAAATAGCTAGCGCCAGCGCTACATGTAAGGCATCTTGGGAATGGAATATCTAGGGCAAGAATGATAGGTCTTCATGCCTTAGATGTAAAAAAAATGTGTAATATATCTAGGGCAGCCAGCATCTAGGGGCAGCAAATTTAGAGACACAAGATGGCAGAGTTTAGAAACATCAGAGACTGCCCCGGAAGTTCCAGTGTAGTCCCGACTGCCAACGAATGTGATAGACCAACCAATATGGTGAAGCGTTAAGAATTATCTCTGGCTTTGTGTACAAGAATGTACAAGAAATTTCTGCAGATCTTAAATCTTTTTCAGAATCAGAAGAGTTTTACAAAATTAGAACTAAACACTTCTATCTTATCAACAACTGTAAAATAACTTTCTAAATAGGGAATTTGAAAGTAAACATTTCACATTTGTGTAATAGAAAAGGTGCGAATGTAAAAAGGAGAGTTAAAACATACAATATACATATGAGGTAGAAGTTGCAATCAAATAGACAACCAAAATTAGCATAAAACGCAATTCCGCAGTAACACCCCAAAAAGAGCATACCGTTCCTATTCGTAAGTCCACAAACAGCAATAGTTCCATAGAATCCGATATCGCCAAAGGGGAAAGAATGAGGCGAAGACACAATTTGCAAGATAAATTCTTTGGAGGGTTATCGGGATGTTGCAAGATTAGGGAAAATAATACGCTTTTGCGAGAGAGTTTAATGTGGATCGTATTTCATCAATAGGCTGTGGAATCATTACCGAAGGGATCAAAACCCTTGTAGAAGACGTGGGTCTGGACGGAGGATTGCCATAACTACAGACGATCGCTTCCCGTTGTTATGTTAAAGACACGCCGTAGATTACTAACAACACGACAACTAGCGGTTACATCTCTTTACTACTTCAGGGGGGCCCATATTCTGTCAAACTGTGTCGCGTCAACTGCATGAAAGTGAACTGTACCCCCAACGACTGTGATTTGTGTTCCTTTGTCTCCACCGCATGACAAAGCGCGATTGAATTGGGCCATGAATATCGCAGATGAAAACCAGAGCAGTGGTGCCACGTACTGGCTATGGATAAGCCTCGATTTAACATCCAGAACGATTCCCGAAGGACAAAATGGCGAAAGCCAGGAACATGCTATCAGATGTCAGGCATCGTCCGAAGAGACCATTACAGAAGTGGAGGCTTACTTGTATGGCCTAGGCTAGCAACAAACGGCCGCACCTACCTCTACGTCCTTTCTGGTTGTTCTGTTACAGTCGTCCGATATCGCGCCGAAATTCAACGCCCTCTTATGGGCCCTTTTATCGACGCAACGGGGACCTACGCAATATTTATGGATGATAATCCGCATCGGCCTAGAGCTGGAGTGGTGCGGAGTTATCTGGAGAGTGAAACCATTTCTCATTTGGTGGAGCCCGCTAGATCACCGGACCACCTGAATTCCATACATCATATGTGGGATATGTTGGGACATCAGATAGCAGGTCGCACCATGCCGCCAGACAGCCTCCACGAGCTGCGACATGCATTACTCCATGACTAGGCGTTCTGCCACAACAAGCGATCAACGACACTATTGTCAGCTCGCCTCCTGTTGTCAATCATTCATTTCAGCTAGGGGGGACCATACTCATTATTAGCGCGATGTTTGTATTGCACATTCTTCCAATTCATTCGGTCTTCCGCGATGTCCTGGTCATAATATATGTCTTTTTGTATGCTTTTGCTTTGTTTGCTATGTGGTGTTAAATATTTGCATAGTCGCCTGTAGTAACGGCAACCGCCGGCAATAAAAGGAGGTGCTTTCCTTAGTTGCACCGCAGTTCCTTTTAGTTCGAGCCAGAATAGACCTGCCCGGGAGGAAGCCAGGGATGAGAGATTCCGGTTCCCGCCATGTTCCGGTTCCCGTCTTGTTCCAGTCCTGTTCCGGTCCTGATCCAGTACTATTCCAGTTCCAGCCTGGCCGTTTAAGTCCAAAACACGTAGGAGCGGATGTCTGAATTCAGCGGAATGGAGATATACGCCGAAAGGGCTAGATGGATTCTGTCTTTTAGGGGAAAGTGTTCTTCACCGTGCCGGCATAGCTGTTACTTTAAAGCACTTTGAAGTTTTCCACCCAAGATGTTAAGTTTTGTTTGTGATGTTAAGTTTTCATCAGTGTTGAAGTTCCAGTTAAATAAACCTTTAAGTTTTAGACAAGGTTTTTGTGTTCTTCAGAAAATTTTAGATTCGAAGTCAGATATAACACATAGGATTATCATCGGAAAATCAACATTTGGCATCAAGCGACAGGATATTGTCTGCAAGGTAAGCGACTTTTTTATTTTTGAATTATGGAAGCTTTAAAATTAGCAAGAACTCAATATAGAAGACTATTCAGTAAAGCGTGTAATGAATTTGACAATGAAGAAACTAAATTTAATCAGGAAGAAAAATTAATTAAAATAAAAGTTATTGCCGAGAAAGCTAAAGTTTTGTTTGATACTGAAATGAAAATACGAGAATTAATGTTTAAAAGAAATTACAGATGAGACTTTACTTATTAAAGGAAATAGATGAATCTGAATTATATTTTGATAGGTGGAGACTTCTGGAAAAGTAAAGTAAAAGATCTCACTTCTGGAACCCCGAATGTAACTTTAATTGATCCGTCCTCTTGTTCAGAATAAAATGTTGACATTATCCGAAGATTAAATTGCCTATCTTTGACGGCAACGTGAAGAAATGGCTTATGGATTTTGGGGGCAATTCCAAAAGATTGATAAAGATCCTACATTAGATAAATAATGATAAATTTGCTTATTTAGGCACAGGCTATGGAGAGAGAAGAATTCTCCTGCAGAGGAAATAGTTTAAGAAGCTTTCCGCCAACTGGCGATAGTTACAAGAGCGCATCGAAGCATTGCAGAACGCGTTTTGGTAACAAAGGAATTACTAACGGAGATTTATATTCGTGATTTGTTAACCCTTGTTATTCAAAAACAAGGTACACACTCTTTGCGGAAACTTAACGATGAACTCGAATCTAATCTAAGAGCCTTGGAGATATTGGGAATAAATAGAGGCAAATATTGCGCGAATATTATATCCCATTGGTAGAATCAGCATTGCCGAATGAAGTACTTAAAAACATGGGAGAGACTTAGGTTTTCGCGTAAAGGATCAGAAAGGGTTTAACCGGCGAAAACGCTGAGTTAAGAAGAAAGGGAGTCTGACCTTGAGCGCCTTTTATGTTTCTTGCGCGGTGAAGTTGAAAGCGAGGAAAGAATTTCTTTAGCAGCTAACTCTTTCAATGTTTTCGATCGATTGGCTCACGGTAATAAGAAAGGGAATTCTGGGTTTAAAGATAAGAGAACCTCGCTTAAAACCTACGGCAGCTGAACTGTTTTTACTTCTTCTAATGAAGCTAGAAAAGGCTGCATATTTTGTTTCCAGTATAAATCATGGTTCTGCGGAATGTTTTCAGGCGCGTAACTTATCGTTGTCAGAAAGAGAAGTTTTGGTCCAAAGGACACGCTCTTGTTTTATCTGTGTCTGAAATCTGGACATTCTGTCAGGAGGTTGTAGATTAAAACAACAGTTTGTTTTACATGCGGCAAAAGGCATCATATTTTTCTATGTAAGGGCCATTCACAAAAGAGTGAGACAAGGGCAACGGAACAGCCTCCAAATCAGGCTGAAACACTCGCCAACATTTCTTCAAGGTCTCCTAAAGTTTTGTTGCAAACAAAAAGAGTAATAATTAAAGGAGATAAAAAATCTCGTTCGGCTCGAGCTATAATTGATACTGGTTCTCAAAGGTCGTATATTCTGCAAAGCGCAGCTCAAGATATGGGTTACAGGTATACGGTAAAGGAATACCTTAGCCACGCATTATTTGGCGGTACAACGACCAGTTTGTGTGAACATAAAGTTTACAAAATTCATTTATCTAGTATGTCTGGCTCGTTACAGTTGTAATTTTGATGCGTTTTTAAGTCAGCCTGTTTATTTGTAATAGTATACCTTCTATTGGAAAAGGAATATGGCTTAAAGAGCTTGCTGACTGTGGAATAAGTTTAACAGATCGTTTAGAAGGACCCATAGAAATTTTAATAGGAGCCGATGTTGCAGGACGATTATTAACGGGGAATCGTAAACAATTTCAAACGGTCTTGTAGCTATTGAGACAAAGTTAGGATGGACGGTTATGGGAAAAACCGGGGAGTTGAATAGTGAAGGTTCAACATTCTTAGTTACATCAATGTTGAATAAAGAGGCTTGTATTTCTGATTTATGGGCCCTCGACTCGCTTGGTATTACGGACCCATCCGAACAAAAGACTAAATTGGAATTGTATGAGGCTACCAGGCAACATTTTCTTGATACTGTAAAAATAGAAGATGACCGCTTTGTAGTGTCTTTGCCTTGGTTGGAAGGGCAACCCTCCCCTGTCGGATAATTTTGAGTTATCGCTAAAAAAGGTGCACGGTACGATTAGGCAACTTGAAATAGATAATCTTCGCCAAGAGTATGAAAAATATTCCAAGAATGGCTCAAAGAGGGCATAATAGAGGAAGTACCCGTAAATGAATTAGATTTACCCCATCATTATTTACCACATAGACATGTTGTTAAGAAACATAGTACTACGAAGTTACGGCCAGTATTTGACGCTTCGTCTAAAGCAAAGGGTTATCCGAGTCTCAAGGATTGTCTTGAAAAAGGATTAAACCTTATTGGATTTATTCCTACAATTTTAAATAGATTTCGCCAAGGAAAAAAAAGGGTGATTTCTGATATTCGTAAGGCCTTTCTACAAATTGACCTGATTTCTAGTGACAGGAACTTCCTCCGATTTCCTTGGATAAAGGGTGGAGATGGCTTGAAGCATTTTCGTCATTGTCGGGTCGTATTTAGTGTAACCAGTAGTCCATTTTTACTTGGAGCTGTTATTCAATATCACTTTAAAATCAATTTTGAGAGAAAAATGATGGAGATGCAAAATATCCTTCCGACATTATTGTTAAATTGAATGAATATTTTCTATGTTGATAACTGTGTAACAAGTGTTGGAAGTGAAATGAATTACAGCGCTTCATGAAAGTATCTTCAGATGTTATGGCAGAACGAAAATTTGAATTGCGGGGTTGGGAATATACCGACTGTAGTTTTAGAAAGAGAACTATTGCGAATGTATTAGGTTTGTTATGGGAAAGACAAGGCTATACTCTTCAAATAAATGTTGCTAATTTACAAAATCTTTGTTTCGAGAAAGTTACGAAAAGAAGTATTTTGGCAATAGCCCATAAAGTATTTGATCCATCGGTATAAACATGTCCAGTCCTTATATTACCTAAGATGTTATTACAGCGTACATGGGAAACAAAAGTAAAATGGGACGAAGAAGTTAACACGAAATTAAAAGTAAATTTTTGAAATGGGTAAAGGATTTTCTCTTTGAAAAACATTAAAATTTCAAGGTGGATACGATATCAGCCAAAACAGTGTTCAATCCATGTTTTTTGTGACGCCAGTCAAACAGCGTATGCGGCAGTAGTTTTTATTCGTGTAGAAGAACCTGAATCAGTTAAAGTCCAGTTGCTTCAGGCTAGGTCTAGAGTTTCGCCTTGTGGTAAAAAGGAAACTACTATTGTAAGATTAGAATTGTTAGCAGCAACTATTGCATCTCGTCTTGCTGCAGACGTTCTAAAAGACTTTGAGACCAGAAGTATATTTTTCTGGACAGATTCAACTACTGTCCTTGCATGGATAAAAAGGGAAGAACAATGGGGGACATTTGTAGAAAATAGAGTACAGGAAATAAGGCTTTTGACACGTGTGGAGGATTGGAGGCATATACCTGGTCACCTTACCCTGCAGATCTTCCAAGTAGAGGGTGTTCAGTTCGCCAACATCTCCCGGTAATACAAAATGGTGGGAGGGTCCCGAGCTGGCTTTTAAAATCCCAAGAAAATTGGCCGAGTGCCGAATTTATAACTGATGAAGCGGAAATAGCCAGCGAGAGAAAAAAAGGCAGGTGGTTTCATCTCTAGTGTCTACTGAAAGGTTTAGGTTTGAGTGAGCGATTTTCTAGCTATCGAAAAAACAGTTAGAGTTGTTGGTTGGATTCAACGATTTTTCTTTAATTGCAGAAATAAGGAAAAAAAGGAAAGGTGAAACTCACTGTTGATGAACTTGATTTTGCAGAAAAGGTTGTTATTTCGCTTTGATTCAATCGGAATCGTTTCAGGATATGTAGAAGACGCACGCTTACGAACTCTTAGTCCATTTTATGATGCGGAATTCTAAGAATTAAAACTGGTTGCGTTTCGAAGAGATGACACGTTAGAATTCAGAACACCTATAATATTACCAGGAGAACATCCATTAGTTAGGAAATTTAATTATGGAAGAACATAAAAAGAAAGGACATGCAGGTGTACAATATATACTGAATACCTTAAGGGAAAGGTTTTGGTTGTTATCTGGCAGAAGAACTGTGCGTTCTGTTTTGAGTAAATGCATTACTTGCAAGAGATATTCTGCTGCACCTGTTGACCA